ATGTTTATTAGGTGAGGAAAGTAGTTAGACCTGTTAGTCTGAAGCCAGGCAAAAGGCAGGATAGATTTGCACCTTACCAACTAAATCAGAGGTGCACAGCATAAGCTTTTGTAAGCAGAGGGCGTAGGCTATATCTCTGATTTGGTTAGTCTAGAAGGTGCAGATCTACCCTGCCTTCTGCTGGGGCGGCCCGTGACTATCGCAGGTCCCAGCCTGCAGGGCAGCCTGGCTGCTCAAGACAGCATCACAAGCTTGGACCTGTAGCCTCTATAAGCTGCTGCTCAGCATTAAGGAGAACAGCTCTAGCTCGCAATCCGGGTCTTTGAGAGCTGCATCTCTGGAGAACCACATCTCCCCACTAGCACCACGCGACGTATGTGGTCACCCAGACAGCGCATTTCCGTGGGGCTGTTCTGGTGCCCGCAGATACGCAGCTAGAAGGAGGTGCGCTTTCCTGTGCAGGGTGAATGGGTTTCTCTTCCTGTTGTGAGCGTGGGACAGCTGCCACTGAGTGTTTGTGTTTCAGCAAGGCACAGACTGTCACTCAGGAAGCAGCCGTGTCTCTCTCGTGGAGACTTTCTTTTTGGTCTCTCCTTATTGTTTGTTTTCCTTAATCTAGAAGGAAAGTAACTGGCAGGGAGAAGCACGCATTTGTTCTTGTGGCCGGAAACCCATGCACGACAGCAAGTGAACTTGGGCCCTGGGCAGCAGGATCCACTACACATTTACCACCTGCCCTGCACACACCGAGGATGAAACAAGTGGGGCTTGAAGGGGCTTCTGGTGAATGTAGCACAGCATTTCATTTGTTAGATGTGTGTGCCGCCCTCCCCATAAAAGGCTCAGGGTGGCTTACAGTAAAGGACATGATAAAATATGAAAATAATAGAAATGCTAAAATAAAACAAGGGACAGCTCGTGGCAGGGCACTGGTGGTGCTGCCACTTTAAGGGCTGAGCCAAGCAGCCAGCAGGTGCGTGATTGCAGCGGCCATTTTAGATCTCTGGCCACCTATATAAACAGGGCAGTTCGCTGCTGGCAGGCTAGGCAGACACATCACCTGGCTGCAAGGCTGCATGCAACATCCTAGAGATAAGGGAGGAGCTGTAGGGGATGGTTTGGAGGCTCCTGGTCCTGGGCATGACCTAAAACTGCACCCTGCTGGGAGTGGGTGGCCTGGTGGGGCTCTCAGTGGTGCGGGAACCCCCAAGAAATGCCAGGCCTGTTACCACCCCGGTGAAAGGCAAGTAGGGGCTCCTTAACCCCAGCCTTCACCTTCAGGTGAGTCATTTACCATCAGAGCAGGGTAGGCCAGGTAAGCTTCGGGAAGCACCTGAGCCTGCTGGGGGAGTGACCCTGTCGGGCCAGGCACGCTTCCAGAAATACCTGAGCCAGGAATGGGGGACCCCGATCCCTAAGTGCAGGCAGGAGGCATAAGCCCAACCGAGGGACTCGACTAGTCAATGCTGGGGCCGGGACTGGAAGGGTCACAAGGGCCAGGGGCCCACCGCAAGGGATGCCCATAATGAGCAAAGAAGCTCGAGGTCCCAACTGGCCTGAGATGAGGCCAGGGTTTATACAGAAGCCAAAGGTCCCTTGGAAAGGGGCCGCAGCTAGTGGGCGAAGGGGATGGTTGAGTCGACTGCCTGAGGTGCCATTTGCGAGGCGTGGGCTGCGGTGTAGGGGTGGAATGGAGCTGTGGAGAACCCCCCAATATGGGGGCATACAGTGGGCAGCCCCTCTCCTGCCTAATTAACATGCCATTATAGTCCATCAAGGTGTGGCAGGAGAGACAGGTGGGTGGTGTGCCCAGAGGCAGGTGGGGAAACTAGCCCTGTGGCTAGTCAGGGACCCCACTTTGCCACACCGCTGAAGATCTGGCTTCTTCCTGCCCCTAGGACTGTGGGTCAGTGGGTGGTGTAGGGTCAGCTGTGCTGGTCTTGTACCGCCCAAGGACTCCTGCATGACGGGGACTCTTAGCTGTCTTTTTAAAGTAGCATTTCCCTTGAAGGATGATGATAATAACAGTGATGATGATAGCAGCCCCATGTCCTCTCAGGACTAAGCTCCCTGTCCCAGGCCCACCCAAGCTGCAGGGCTGCCCCTGAGCGACTCCCCACCTGGGGCTCAGCCTGTTGGGGAAACATCTGCAAAGAGACAGGCCAGCATTTGCAGCCTGGCTTCGAAATCTGTGCCTCAGCCCACAAACGAAGCCTGGAGAGGGCCTGGTTCCTGCAGCTGCCCTCACAACCTGTGCTTGACCTTTACCAGCATGTCGTACCTCAGGGGCTGCCCCTGCCAGCTCACTTGTGCCTGGTTGTGGCCTTCCCCCCAGCAGGCAGCAGCACGGGACAGCTGCAGACTGCTCTGCCTTTCCATGGGGTCTCCAATCCTCTCATTCTCCTTCCTAACAAGTAAGGAATTTCCCTCCTTTTCACCCTGGGTGTCTTTAACTCCTTGCTTCTTCAAGCTGCTGATGTGATTGCTCCAGCTGAGGTGCAGTTAGACCCGATGTGTTTCCAATTTCCTTTTTTAAATTGTTGTAATTGGGAGGAATGGTGGGACGATGGCTCAGCGGTCTCTAGATTAATAGCAAGAGGCACTGCTGCGTTCCCTGAGCGCAGCAGGCCCATCTGATTTTGCCTACCGAGGTTTAGTCTCCAAAAAGAAACTGCTGGACCAATATCCAGGCACAAGCAGGTGGCTTTCGGCAGCACAGACTGAACAACCTGACCCCGGGCATCCCCCCTTGCCCTCACGGAGAACCCAGTACCCTGAGATCAGGAAGGCTGGTGTTTGTATAACCTGCCTTTTGAATTTCTTCTGTATGTCACCATCTTCACTGCAGGGCTCCAAACACAGGAGAGCTTGGAAGTGGTAATTCGTGATAAGAGCATCACTCAGTCTTATCTTAACTTGGAATTCCCTTTCAGTTGAGGGAAAAGATCTGAGGATGCTTTCAAAGCATTCCCCCCATCCCTAAATAACCGGACTAAGATCATGATAACGGTTAATAATTGTACAGCCTTTTCCATGCCAGAACGTTCCCAAACATTAATAAAATATTAACTCCCTTGACAAGCAGGTACATTTTACACACACAGGTGCCAGCTCTCACAATGTTATTGCATTTATTTTAAGCCTTGGAGAGACCTAGGAGGCCATTACATGAAATTCTCAGGCAGTTTCTAGCCCCCGTGACTGTGGAAACGGGTCTGAAAATGTGATTCTCTAAACCAGAAGGGAAATGCATTTTTTAAAAACATTATTCTTCAAGGTCTCCTGATTTTAAAGCCAATCTCACGATTTCTGATATTTGAGCTGGGAAGTGGTAATACTGCTGCTGAGTAAACTGAGGCTCAGAGGAGTCAATGACTTGCCTAGGCGCATACAGGGAACAGAGCCCAGAAGCAATGCCAGTCCCTGCTACAACTACCAGACCACTCTTCCACGCGCAGTCCTTGTCGAGTCACGTGTCCCACCACCGGTCTCTAGAAACATGGGGAGAAAGGAGCCCATTACAGTGCAGCATTACCTCAGTTTGATGGTGACTCATTGAAAACTATCACTGTTCCCAGGGTGAAAGCTGAATGACACACAGGCGACTCAGGTATCCAGGTTGTACGGGTGACTCCAGCACCCAGGATGCAACAGGAGAGAAGGGGCCCGAGAGCAGGACGTGAGACAGCAGCCACCACTCAGTTGGTGAGCACGTAGATAAAATGTGACTTAAGCACCTATTTGGGTTATTTGTACCTGAAAGCTTGCAAACAAGAATTTTTTCAGCTATTTGAGTTGGTCTAATAAATTATATTAGACTGACCCAAAGAGCCTTGTCTGTGTAGGCAGCTCTATGGAGTTATCATCAAGGGCAAAGAACTGGTGGGACCCTTGTATGGAGCCCATGGGACCAGCCCTTGCACTGACCCAGGGATTATTTCCAGGAAGGAGTCTGCTGTGGAAAATGAGTTGTCTTTAGCAAACTCCCCATGTTAAGACTAGCTTTGAACTGCCTGCCTAGGGCAGATGAAAGTCATTGTCTTCGTCAGCACAGTCTTAAGGAAGTCTGGTACAAAGTTTAGCCTGCGCTCAGCTCCTGCGTGAGCCACTGAACTGCAGCCTTCATGTTGGAACAGGGCAAGGGTGAGTCTTTCCAACCTGGGGAAACTTTGGTTTTCCCTGAGTTAGCAGGATGAAGCGCCAGGATGTTTGATGTATACAGCTGTGTCTTAAACAAGCCTCTACAACAGAGCTTTCCATTGTTAATCATGACCGCAGATTAAGAATACTTAACTAATTATTATTCAGGCTAGTTAGACAATGGACATTAATCTCCCTTCCTATGCAGCAGTGATGGCTGCTACCCGGAGCCTTAAAACGGCTGGATTTTCCAAGCAGGGGAGTTGTGAATTCCACAAAGCCATTTCCAGTTGGGACCAACGCAGCAGGGCTCAAACTGCCTGCTTAGCTCGGGCGGCATCTTTCTGGCCAGCCCAGGAGACGCAACCCTTTCAGATGAGCCAGGCTCAGGGGAGGCCTGATGTTCCTGGCTAAAAAGGTGTTATTTTTACTGTGGGGGAAGTAACACGCATCGCCTACGCCATGGTGACAACGCAGCGAGTGTGCTGAGTTCTGCCAGGAGGTAAATGAGCTGAGGTCACCCGCACGGGGGAGGGTTGTCACCTCGGGGAGCCGACCTCCCCTTCCTGGAGTCCACTCCGCAGCTTCTGTGATCTGGGACAAGGACAGGCTCCCACTCTCTGTGCTTCCTCCCTTTTACCCAACTGAGACCTGGACTAGGGGAGACGGCGAGAGCCCCCAGCCCGCAAGCGCTGGCTTGTACCAGCGACTGACTCCTAGATGGCCGCTCTCCGCTCGCTCGGGAGAGCGCTGGCTGGCATTTGGAGGACACGAGGAGGAAGGGCAGTGGGAACACAGCCTTGCTGTGGTGCTCTTTGCCCCCAGAATGGCTGAATCAGCTCTAATCCCATCTAGAAGCCATGGAGGGGAAACCCAAGTGGGAAGCCCCCGTGAGAGGTGGTACCGAGAAAGCCCTTTTTCCCCAGCCCAGCGTCAACAGACAACTGGACTCCAGCATAAGCATGAACATGTTGCACCCAGAAGGTACCTACTGACAGGGAATAAGAGCTTTAATTGCTGTGCAATAATGACTGTTTAAAGCACTGGCCCTTTTAAATACAGGGACATGGGTAGTGAGACATGTAAAGATTTTTCGGGGTCACAGGTGCTGCCCATTCAAAGCAGGCAGTGGTCCCCTGACCCGGCAGTAGGCAGTGCCATCTGCTCTGGGCAGAGGCGGGACCCCCGTGCGGGATGCTTGTGGAAGGAGCTGCTCTTGGGGAGGGCCCCTCGCTCGCACGGCCAGCTTGTGCCGTCTAGCACGGGGCACGCGGCTTCCCCCAGGCTGCTCAGTGCCGCCGTCCTGGAGCCGTCCCACGCAGCACACCGAGCCCCTCGGTCCGTGTCAGCATTTCATCTGTGACACTCGGCGAGTAGAGCAGTGCCCGTTTCTGCGAGGAGGCCTGTCTGTGCTCTGCTCTGTGAGGATCTTCCCTGAAAGCTTTTAACGCGCTGTAGCTGTAGCTGCGGGCAGGGCCCTTGTTAAAGTCTTCTGGCATGGCCTAGCGCCTTTTCCAAGACAAGTTTCAGATTGTTTCCGTGCACAGCCACAGTTACTGTGTGTGGTTTGGCACTCTCCTGCCAACCTGCCAAGCCCTAGGTGAACTCACGCGTCCTTATGCTCACCCAGGGTTTCGTTTTCCTCCCATCCAAAGCGCAGCAGGAGGGAGGTAGAGCCAGAGGGGTGGGAGGAGAGGAGCCCCACTGCCACGCGCTGTCTCGGCCCGTGTTGGCAGGGCAGCGTCCATGCAAGGAAGCTGGCAGGGCCGGCGTCAAAGCCAGCATTGTTGTATGGCTGCTGGCACTAACGCTGAACAACGTGCCATTGAGGCAGCCCCATCACTTGACTGGACAGCACTTCAGCGGAGCACTTGAGACACGGTGCTGGGGCAGCGAACGGACAGCCGCCATATGGCCCGGACTCGGATGAGGGTTTTGGTGATAAGCCACTTGCAGAGGGAGATGTGAGGCCTGTCCCGAAGGCAGTTTTCGCAGCTGCCTCTGGTGCAGTTTAACTCCTGATCCAGCGCGTGCAGGGAGCGGTACGGTTCCTGCACATTCAGCTGGGCAGCTGCTGATCCGGGGAGAGAAAACTGGGGGACTTGTGAGGAGCCAACCCTGACCACTGCCACGGCCAACCTCCTGATGAGCCCTTGCCTTCTCCATTGCTCTTTATTGACAGCTCCCTCCAGCCAGGGCCCTGTCCCTTCCCCATCTCGGATAAAGCAAGGGGATGGGGAGGAACTGATTTGGAGCTGGGGACAGGAGCCCAGGAGGGAGACAGGAAGAAGTCCTCTGCGAATAGGGACAGAAGGGTCCCTAGAGAGGAGGGATGAGGTGGAAAGGAGCATGCCGATGCAGGCATGGAAAAGAGGGGCTGGGGCCGTGCTCTTCTCTGGCCCTTTTTTGCAGAGCCCTCAGGTGGTTCACACACATTCATGAGCTCAGCTCCAGGGGAGCGGCGGGGGAGTCAGGCCCAAGAGCGATTTGAATACAAAAACAAGGAAGAGGAATTTAGGCTCCTTTCTTTCTCACAGGGGAATGAAAGAGTCACTGGAGATCAACAAACACACAGAGGACGATTGCCCACAAGTTAAAAGAAAAAAGGAAAGGAGAGAGGGATTAAGAAACAGAGGGCAGGGAGCCTGGAAGCAGTGATTTGTGCAGCAGTGAGTGGAAATGAAAAAACTCTCCTTACTTGATCCCACACGGAAAACAAGCAGCACAAAGCAGCTGTTGCCAGCTGAAGTTAGTTTTTCCCCTGTAACAGTTGGGTACAGGAGTCGAGTGCAACACAAGAGACCACAGAAAATCCTACTCCTCTAACGCTGGGTTGCATGCTTTAACCATTAGACAACACTGCCTATCTCCGATCCATTTTCTTGGCTCCAGACCCTCAGGAAAGAGCCCTCCAAGGAAGCGTGGCAGAGAAGGTTCCCCCTCTGAGGAAGTGCGCTCATATGAAGTGCTTGAAAAGTTAACTTGTGATTGGAGCTGGATGACGCGCCCAGGCCCTTTGCCCGTCTCCAGAGCTGCCAGCGTCGCTCGCAGACGTTGGTGGGAGGCGTCAGCCTCCCTGCAGTGGACGACGGTGCAGCCTGGGCAGCAGCTACACAGAGAGCCCTTCTGCGGGGCGATTTCTGTGCAGAAACAAGCTGGAGGCTGCAGAAGAAAGCATCACATCAAGTACAGAACTTGCCCCAAACATCCCTTTGTTTGTTTGAATGAAGGATTTTCCTCCTCCTGTCTGGGTTCTCCTTCCTCTTTTTCACACATCCAAGTCCTGTGTTTGTGGCATCACAGTTTGTTGGCATGGAAGTGACTGTGAAGTCATACACGTGGCAGTATATCGTTCCAGGCAGGATCCAGCTGGGAAGAAGAGATGCTAAGAGGCCAGATCCAAACTGACCTGGAAGGCATCTATCTCCACTGAGGCATGGCAGTACCTAAAATGTAGGTAACGTGCCTCAGGAGTATGATCTAAATCAACAGGTTGGTGCCCAGGTTACCTACACAGTAAGGAGACCAAGGGTGATCTAGATCACGTAGGCGCTCACAAGGAGGATCTATAGCTAGCCAGAGCTGGAAACAGGGACCAGGACTCAGACCTCCCCTATGGGATCCGAAGACATACACTTTCCTGCTTTCTTCCTGGACTGTGCACACCTTTCACACGAGATGTCATGGGTTACAGAGCAGCAATAACCCTGGCTGCAGACCCTGGAGACGCGGGGTCCCCATGTCGGGGCAGTGCCCGCGTGCCCTGTTTAGGTCAGCTGGTGTCTGGACCTACATCCGCCAAAGGATTGAGGCACCTCGCTGCTACATTAGGCACCTAAAACAGAAGCTTACCTCATCGGTGTCTCCCCTCCCCACCGTGCTCCACGGCTGCGCAGCTCTGCCATGACCCAAGGCCTTTGTACCTAATTTTGCCAGAAAAGTTGCCTAGATGCCTAAATGTCTGCTGCCGGGCATGTCCAGAACTGCCGAGCACTAAGCAGCGTGGCGCCTTCACTCGCACTGCAGCCCCATGAGGATTAATAATTTGGGCGTTCCCCCACCTGTCTTGCCCGAGGGCCCCTGTCTGGCAGGCAATGGGCATGGTCAGAACACGTCTCCCAAACTGGGCCTTGCACAAGACGCACTGATGGAGGAGGGGGAGGTGGTGCCCCCTCCACCCTGTGACTTAGTTGTCTGCTGACTGGAAGAGACCCGGGTTCAAATTCCTCCTCTCACCGAGGGGACTTGAGCCTCAACCACTGGGGTACAGATGCTCTGGGAGAGGGGCCTTCAGCTTCTGCTGTTGATCAGCTTCGAATAAAATCCTTGAACATTCACTGAAGGAAATCGTGCAGCCCTGCTCTAAAGAGCCCATGGCCATTTCAGCTCGCCCCACGGGCCTTTAAAGGGTGGCAGCCTCTGCAAGGTGCCTGGAAAGTCAGCATGCTTGGGCTGCTGGGAGGTGAGAGGGTCGCTCCAAAGGGGAAGGGGAAGGGGAAGGGGAAGGGCCCTCAGGGAGGGTAGCGCTTCTAGCCGCTCAAACAGAGCGAGCGAGCGAGCGCTCGGGTGGGCCGTATTCAGGGCTGTGACCACCTGGCCACCTCCCGCTCCTGACTCCGGCTCTCCCTGCAGCTGGTCTGCGTCACCTGCCTCCTGCAGGCATCAGGAACCATTGCTTTTGGACTCGCCGTGCAAGAGCTGCCCATTGCCCACCCTCAGCGCTAGCAAGTGGTACCAGTAACGGAGTGGGTGGCCTAGCCAGGACAGGACATGTTCAGCCCTATTTCAGCAGCTGTGGCTAAAACCAGGTCAAATCAGTCACTATCACCGACTTAACTGGTAGCAGCAGCTAAAGGGCTTAAGAGCTGGAAAAGGACTTAACACATGAATTGTCAAGGTTGGCGTGGGATTCAGCTAACCTAACTTACAGCCACCAACACCAGCTACTACACAGGATGAATTGAATAGCGATCCAGGCTTCCTGCAGGGAGATGAAATCGGACTAGGGAGGTCACGGCAGCGGTTCTGAACCTTTTTAGACTCCAGAAACCCCTATTTAAAATAATTAGACTCAAGGCACCCCTCTGCAAATGCCAGCTCTTACTCTCTACACCAGCCCCTGGATCTGCCCTGGGTATCATTCCTTTGAAGGTCCTACCTGGTGATTTAAACCAACTGAGAGCCTTGCTGCTCTGTACAGACTTGTAGACTCTTTGAAGAAAGGAAGAGGGTTTTTTTATGTGTCTGTTAAGTACCAAGCATATGTTAAGGCCCTGTTTAGAAATAATACATCATAATTAGAACTGCTAATTTTCAAGGCATTTCCACAGGGAGCTCACAAGCAGTTCTAGGTAATGATGAAAACTACTTGTGTTTCTGAATCTCCTCTCTGCAGATCAGATATGAATTATCAGCTTATATTCTGCTTTTAAAAAATGCCACCCAGCCCAGGAATTATTCCACCCCTAATTTAATTATGATGATCATTGAACGCGCTGCTAAAACTGGAAGTCACTATGATCTCTTCATGCTTATTCTGGTGTTGGTGACAGTTTCTGATTGGCGGTACCTTGGTCACTAGAAAGTGCTACCTCAGCCTCACACCCAGCTGGTTCAGCAAGAATGGGAATAGCCTTGTTGCACAAAGGCAGCAGTACTGTGCCGTCATGTCCAGCCATGGTATTAGCAGTGGTGACAGCAAGGCCACAGACAGCAAGTGAGGCCATTGCCACAGAGTGCAGGAGCCTGTTCTCAGGGTATTGCCCCAGCACGGGAACAAGAGACGTGAGCAAATGCCGTGGTGGGGAGAGTGCGAGACACGGGGATATACCCAGTAAAACAGAACGTGACATACTCGATTTAAGAACACGATGTTTGAACCCTCAGTGCTTGAAGACTCTCCTGCCTCTTACCTTGCCCCAGTCATTGACTGTTTCTCAAGACTTTGAATGAATCAGTCCTTCAGTCAACTCTTTCATGCATCA